TAGCTTTATAATGATGTTGTACCGAAAACGGCTGGTATGAAGATCAAAAACTAAAATTAATCAATGATGGTTATCGATTTTTTTCTTCTATAGAGAATTTTCGAGCTTTATGCACAGGTGAGAGAGGTTTTGGATATAGAGATTCGACGTTTCATCGAGTAATTCCACAATTTATGTTACAAGGTGGAGATTTTGAACGACAATAAGTGAAAATATTTCCCTGCTTCATATTAAGAACTTAATAAGTAATTTGACATTCATTTAGTAATGGTACTGGTGGACGTAGGTAAGATAGTTATTCTCAAACATAATTCAATATTTTTATTTTTTTATTGAATAGTATCTTTGGAGGTAAATTTGAAGATGAAAAGTAAATATTTATCAAAAAATAAAAGATGATTTTTGAAATGTTTTCTGTAGTTTTAAAATTAAACATACGAAAGAAGGTTTACTTTCAATGGCGAATGCTGGTAGCCATACAAATGGTAATGAATTTATTTAAAAACAAAAATAACTTGTTTTGAAAAATGCATGTTTATCATTTTTAGGTTCGCAATTTTTTGTAACAACAGTAGCAACTCCATGGCTTGATAACAAACATGTATGAATATTTTTCGATGAAAGATCAATTATTTAACATGATTTATTTTGTTCATAGGACGTCTTTGGTGAAGTAACTGGTGGAATGGACATTGTCCGAAAAATTGAAGCTTTAGGTTCACAATCTGGCAAAACACAAAAACGAATTACAATTGGTAGTTGTGGAGAATTAGATCGCTAAAGATAATGTGCAAAATTGAAATTTTTCTTGTTATTCTCTTGATGTTCTAACACTTGAAATCTTTGTTGTTTAAAAGCTTTTTTTCTTGCATGAGATAGTAGAAAAAAATTAAGTTGAATGATGGATGTCAAAGCACATTATTTCGTTTTCATGATGAATTTGCCAGTAGAAGAAAACGTTTTGTTTGAAGTAAAATCAAAACAAATGTAAATCATTTGCATTCTATCGCCGTGTTGACTGAACATCCTATTGTTTATTTCTTTAAGTAAAAGTGAACTCTATAGTACTAGCAATAACTGGTAGGTTGATTATCCTGATATCTGTATATTATTCTCTGAGTTATATATGTTGAAGCTGACACGTAGAAAAATGTTTGTGACAGTACATTTGAAAGGTTGATATATGCATCCAAATATAGCCATATGAATTGTGTTACTATTCACCTGGTAGACGTTTCATCGGCGACAAAATGAAAACATGGAATGTTTGCGTTAATTAATAATGAATTAATATAGATCACAGAATTAATTACAAATGTTTGTTGTTTGATGAGTACAACTCTCAAACTGAATATCGTCATTATTGCCCATGACATGAGAATTCTTTAAAAAGCCAATGTTCATCTTACATATATCAGTCTTTCATTTCCATGAGTAAATCTGCCGGTCAGCCAAAATAGTCTTACAGTACAACAAACGAAGTTTAACATTTTATTTTATTCACAATCGTATTCAATGTTTCTATCAGTAAGTTATTGAATAACAACAGGCCGTGTCTTCGATTATTATTGTCATTGCTTTGAATATGGATGTTCTACAGTGTTGCCAGATCTTCCGGGTTTTGAAAGCTTTTTTGGATTTTCGAGATTTCGGAAATTTTCTATCTCGATTATATTTTACTCATTGGTTAACATTCTACCATAAATTACTTATAATCTGCACAAGTTCATTTCCTTTTTATTGGTATAATATGTTTTGATGTGCATTTTTTTATTTAAATATATTTTGTAGATATAAAGAATATCTTTGTCCCTTAATGAGTTCAAGTAAAACGTACTTGAAATGAATAAAACTGACCCTAAAAAGTCTTTCCGGATTTTCGAGTTTGACATCTGCGAACACTGTTTCTACATGAAAATATTTAGTTGTAGATAGTCAGAATTCTTTTTTTCTATAGTTTCTTCTAATATTGATTATTTGGACTGGCTCTATGCTGTTTTTATACTGTCTATGATTGTAAAATCAAAGGGCGCATTGGTTAGTCACTGTCGTAATTAAAAAATAATTATCTAACAAAAAACCAGGCTCTCTATAAGTCATGTTTGAGCAGCTTTACTACGAGAATTTTCTCTCATTCTGATTTTAATGCAATAGTCTTGAAAACTTTATTATCATTGCTTTCTTTCAATCACTAGCTACGTAGTTCTCCTCCTATTATTGCTTTCTGACCCATGTAAACACGAAACGCAACATCGATGCGTTGAAACGCGATTTCTCAAAATTACGCGTCCAGACTTGATTAAAAACGGTTTTATGACGCGTCACAACACGTTTACAATATGAAACGCGTTGAGTCGCAGTCAGAAAAATTTCGAAACGCTTTTGAACGTAGTGTTTGGACACAACGCGTTTGAACGTATTTTGAAAAAAAATATGGACCGCATCTCACCGCGTTTCATATTGAAGTCGCGTTAATACGCAGTTAGTAAAGCTCGGCTGAACGCATTCAGACGCGGTGCAATATAAAACGCGTTTGAGCGCGTCTGCGAAGCATATGAAGCGCATGTGAACACGTTATTGTGAAAAATCGCGTTGACATGCGACTAGATTGCATCAGATTCTTCAAGATGTACAATACAAGCGAACTAGATCAATTTAAATTGTTCAAGAAAATCTGTTTTTAGAGCCCCTGAAAACTAGAGACGCTTCTATCATTTTACTTTTATCTAAATTTAAGAAAAAAATACATGATAAACATTAAAATCAACAATATTCATAGCGTGTATACAGCTACAAATAGGTATCATTGATTATTTCCGATATTTGCCTACAAATATATCATAAAAAAGCTCTATTTCTTTACTATGTAATCATTTTTACGGTGTGTCATACTTATTTTTGATCAATCATATCGTTCTGACATGTATTATACTAGAAAATATTTTCTTCAATGCCGAAAACTACACAAACCTAGATAACTTTCAAAATTAAAGGTTGAATAGTTATAAACGCCACCAAAATTTACAACCGATTCAGGCAAATGCATGATTGTATGAATTGATATGACATTTTGACGATCACCATATAATAAAGGAAATTGATAAATAAATTCATTTGCTAAACGTTTGATATTTAAGGTTTGATCAGAAGAAGTAGATTTCGATTC